TCTCAGGTGTTTATGGATGGCTGCCAAGTAAAAATCAAATAAACAAACAATCCTCCCCCAAACCAAACCAATTCTACCTCCTGCTCCCAAACCACAGACATCATATCCATCCTTCACTAACAAAAAAAAGGACTGTGTGAAGCATATGGAGTCACAATGAGGCATGGTCTTTATCTCCACAGTCATGAAACTGAATTTTTTTAAACATTATTCCTTGAGTGGCAGACTTTCCTAATTTACGAGAATGAACTGAAGCCAGCAGAAAAGCTCATACTGGCTTCAGCGATTTGGATCAGGATGATAAAGGACATTCTTTTAATGGAGGCTCCTAATTCTTCTTTGTTTCCAGTAAGAGCCAAATTTTCATCTCAGTGAAGTCTATGTAAATCCCCAATTCGTGGGCATTGCTTAGGATCTGTGCTGGCAAAAATGAAATTGGAACCTATTGCTCCCAACTTGCACACCCTCTTCTCCATTATGTTAAAAACCACTCTCTTTTATGGCTTGTTTCTTGATGTAACGGGAAGGCTGTCATCTGCTCCCTTCCATTGGAGGGAATTAGCATTGAAAAGTCATTTTTAGAAGCATCAGTAAGCATCAGCAAGTAAGGTTTCAGCTAGCATAATTTCAGATTTCTAGTGCTGAAAGGTTTTGTGTATCAAGTTTATCTGCGTAGCCAAGTCCTTTGTCACAGGTACTCTCCACGATTCTAAATCAAGATATATGACTTCCTTGATTTATTATGAAATACATGCATTTTCTTCATTTGGAAATTGTTACTATATCCAGAAATTCTGAATTTTTAGAGCTGCATCTTGGATAAAATAATGAATGAATTTGCTGAGGCAGAATATAATTGATTGTGCTTGGCCTGCTAGGTAATGATATAATATAGTGTGACTCGACCTGCTGGTGCAGAACACAATCAGTATGCATGCTCTAGTTGGTGGAAAACATAAAATAAACTACTTAGATTATTTAGTGAGAACCCAATTTGTTTAGAATGACTAAAGCACAACAAACGGCTTGCAAATGAAAAGTACGAACTTTAAAAATCCACATAAAAATAAAGCTAAGGCTGAGACTAAAATGTGAAAAAGAACACGTCCTAAGCTAAAAAATAACTTAAGTTACACAAAAGCTCCAACCCTGTACACCCGGAGAGCTAGCCCTGAATTTCCCAGCACCACTGGTGTCAGTGTATCCATGACAAAGAACGGCTATCGCAGTCTCTGACAGGGCAAGGACAGTCCTGTTACTCAGAACATTGAATTTCCTCCACGCTGTGCCTAGACATCCCTCTACACAGCATATCTCACATTTGTATCGCATCTTCCTGTTTGGTTCCCAAGCTGTTTACCATCATGTAAACCTGTTACCAACCTGTTAAGTTTTAGGACTCTGATGGCCTTTGTTTTTCAAAGCAGATAATTTAATTGTGCTTAAGAAGAAGGTGAAATGAGAACAGATAGTTAGGAAAGTTTTGAACATCAAAATTGCATAAAATATATAAATATGGTGAGAATTTAAAAAAAGGATTGAAGGTATGGAGTTGTATACTTAAATGCTACGGCAGTGGACAATATTCAGCCACCAAAGAGGCCAGACACCTTTCCCCATCCACTGGAATATTTGGAATCAATTATTGATTACAGAAGAACTGAAAAGAGAGCTTTTATTTGGGGGATGCAGATAATTTTAAGAATGATGCACTACAATCCAGTCATCTATCTCAAATTGAAAGTCATAAATCATTACATTTTAATACAACACCACCTTGAACAATTAACATCTTGAATTACGAGTGTATCACCAGAGTTGTGTCAAGTTAACACACTGTATTTCTAGCTTCCACGGGCCTGGGAACTGTTCAATGCGCTATAAAGATATCTGCATAGGGGGTAAGAATATAAATGCAGCTGTTTATAAACTCACTGTCCCGCATGTCATGATGTTGCAGGTCTGTATTATAAAAAAATGAAACGCTAATGAATCAAAACACTTCAAACGCAATCTTCCCCTCAGTTTGGTTTCAGAGGCTCTAAAGCCCAGTTAAACTCATTTCTTCCATTTTCCATGGATTTTCATAGATTTACTGCTATAGGTGCAATAAACCTGTCTGGTGATAAAAGTAGGAGCACAGGGAAAAAATCATAACTGTTTCTTGAAAGCCTCATAAAATTATATTCTGCAAGGGGCACTAAACCGCTCAGCATAAAACCATTTGCTTCCCAGTGAAGTGGGGCTTCGCCCATTGGCCAGCGCAGCAATAAGCAGAAGCAGATGTGTATCTGAAGGAGACGTACAGCTGGGCTGGGAACGGAACAGCTTTTTATAAGCTAGAAAACAAGCACAGAGTACGCAGTCTTAGGAGGGGAATTAATTTAGATCATTTAATGTTAACATATTAGACTTCATTATTGAGTGCAAGTTGCACATTTCACAGTTCTACTTCCTCATATAAAATGACACCTGATAGTAAACCAGAAAGAAGAGGCAGAGGTGATCTGACTACGGATAAAAACATGGTAACTAAAGAAGTAACCAGATAATTAAGTGGCCTTTTAAATCTAGTTGTTCCCTGAATATAGCCTCTCTTTTCAAATTTCCTCTGCAATGTAAGTTTGAAGGGCATGAAAGGAGACACTGACAGCTCGGGAAGTTGATACTACATTTCAGGTAAAGGCCCTTCCACAAGGTCCTGACAAAGGTTTTCTCCTTATCAGCACTTCAGCTGGGAAGAACAAAGAAAAGACACACATGAGTTACATGGATTGCAGGATGAGTGCAAACCACCAAGGAAAAGCGGTGACGAAAAAAGTAAATACAGTCTTACTATTTAGGGGGTAACGTTTCCTGAAAAAATGGAGAGATAAGAGCATTGCACCAGGTGCTGGAGGGATCTTTCCTGCTTCTCGAGTTGAAGGGACTATCTCAGGAAGGATGAAATCCAATCGGATGAGGTGCAAAGAAGGACAGAGAGCTGCTCGGGGGAACAGGTAAGAGTGTGGCTTGCTCTGACTAGTGAACTAGGGGCTGAGAGAGGATATGATTGCTCTCTGTTGATGTACCAATGGAGTAAATGCCAAGGAGACAGCGGCACTCTTCATGCTAAGGGATACTCTCGGCAGAACAAGTGGATCAAAACCAGGCACAAGTAAATTTATGCTGGAAATGAGAAGATTTCTAACTGCTGGAGCAGTGATGTTCTGAAACAGTATCCCAAGGAGAGCAGTGGAGGTAAAAAACCTACATAGGCTGAAGTAAGAGTTTGATAAGAGTTTCTGAAGAAGATTGCACGATACAGTTAACCACAGGCAAATGAGATTTTCAAACAGTTTTCTAATCAGATGAGTAAGGTGCAGAGGGGACCACCAGCTACTTCAGAGGTGGAACTCAACCAGTTTATCAGGACAGATGATGACATCTTGCTTTCAACCAGAAAACCTTCCAGTTCTGAGCCTTCTCCTCCTGAGCACTTTTTCAGTATGGGTCTTAAAGGGAGGCCAAGGTGGCACTGTGGTCGAGAGCTGACATGCACATACAGTAGAAAGACAGGGGGTCGATGAGGTTGAAAATTCTGCCTTCCTAGCTCTGCCAATGTACCAATGTAACAATTAGACACAGGGAAAAACTGAAACCTTTTATGCACGTTCTGCCTTTCAAGTGCCTGAAGTTTAAGGTTTGCATTTGCAAAATTGCCTTTCTTGTCAGGTTTGAGCAATGCTGAACACAAAGCCATCCAACCCCTGCTGCCTTTTGAGTCTCTACCTCTAACAGTTTGATTTCGCTAAAACACCACCACCACTGTTTTAAGAATTGAATTTGTCTGTCTTTTCTTGTGTAACATAGGCATTTTTCTTAGAAACAGTGGACTAACATCATTAAATACATTTTGCTATGGGTACCAAATAATATTATTAACAGGGGATAACAATTTTCAGCTAATACCTAATGTCAAACACTTTGGATTTGAAGTGTGGGGCAGAAAGAACTAGGAACCAAATCACCATAAGACAGACCTGCGAAGCAGCAGACAACCGTTACACTGTGTTCTCAGTAAAATTTTTGTTTTATACTTGCTTTTCTTCTGTCTGCAAAATTCTTAAAGCCATAAAAACAACATAAAAGGCAATAGCGAAAACCAATTTTATGTTGGACTCTGAAGCTTTGAACTTTCACTGTCTTGTTCAGATTCATTCAGGTACCATTAGTATCACAAAATCTGTTTAGGGTTGGCTAGCTACTCAGTATTTTAAGGCTTTCATTTGCCTAACACTTCTCTGGGCCACCATTTTAGTTATCAGGTAACCTCCCTCTTATGAATAAATGATGGTACAAAGCAATCGCCTAGAGCACCCTGATGCCACTTTCATATGATGGACACTGGGAGGGATACTTGTGAATAATCAAGTGCCATTCCTTGCAATTGGAGACCAAATGTGTGCCTGTACAACACCGTGTTGTAAATATTAGAGGACCTGAGAGATAAAAGTTTAATTTCAACACAAATCTGCTGCACATTTTGACGTTTACACTAACAGGCAAGCCATTGGTTTGGCTGACAAGAAAGGTGTAATTCATGGACAATTACGAGTAACAAATTCAGAATTAGCATGAATGAAACAACCTTGTTACTGGGCAACAAATTTCTATGGGATTTTTGGAAGAGTCCTTCCCATCACGCTGCCACCCTGGGTCTGGTCACAGCAGTTGAAAGTTACCTCTGATAAATAAAATGAAATTAGTGATACAGTTGCTGATGAACAGGTACTCAAATCTTAAAACTTGTAACAAGACGACCAAATGAGCTGTCTTTAACAACTGGAAATCATAAAATGAAACTGGTTTTGGTGTGGGAAGCCTGAAGTATAAAAAAATCTGCACTTTTACTGTGTAGATCTAGCAAAGTTTGGAGGCTTCTTTTGTTTCATTGTTCTGCACTGGCATTTCTTCAGGCTTACAGCTATTACCCAAATACATCTCTCATTTCCACATACCTTGTAGTGAAAGAGGAATAATCCACAGAAGAGGCTGTACAGGTCAGCTGTGAGTAGGGAGAGGTTGACGGCAGTAGCACTGGTTTTCTTTATGACCACTGGCATAAAGCTATAGAGGCCAAACATACAGGCACTAAAGCCAACATACAACAAGCCTGCAGAAGAGAAACAAGAAGCAAAGTGACCTTCCATAGCCTGCAGAAATGACTTGTGCTGGGAGGAAGAAGGCTGTGTTTTTAGAAAAGGATGAAGAATGCTTTTCAGAAAAACATGGATTCAAATTATTAAGATGCACACACATATGTATATAGACTAAGAGCATCATTCTAAATATATATGAAAACCAGTGAAAACCATACCTACAGCAGTGGACACAAGGTCTGCTCACTGTGGTCCCCATACTATCAGTGCTGTTTTAAACTGGTGTCTTATACTACTAGTGAATACCTCATGTCCGACATAAATTTGGATGAAATGATGCATTTGGACATATCAACTCTAGTCTCTTAAGGAGCTGAATGTCCCCAACACCAACTGAGTTCAGCTGAGTTGGATGGAGCACACAATATTTTCTGGGAACGGACCCAAAAAATGAATGCAAAAGTATTTGCAGAGGAGTTAATGAGCCAATGGCTGAATGCATGAGGACAGCACTCAAATGACAGAGGTCTTAGTCCTATTTTGCCACCAAACCTGATAAATCACTTCACAGTTTTGTGCTTCTGTTCCTCTACCACTTCTTGTCTGCCTTCCTTAACAAAGCTTTCTGGAGCTGAGACTATTTCTTGCTACATGTTTACAGAGTGCCTCACACAAATTAGATTGTTAGACACTAATATAATAGAAATACATTACAGTAAAAATCTAATTTCATTTAAAATCTTAAATAACTTACTGGGAAAGAATTCATTGCTTCAGTTATTACTTGATAAATCCCAAGGCAAATTAATCAATACGAAGTTAAAAAACCAGCAAACACTTCACTCATCTGCACTCATGCAAATGATATTTCTTAGGCTGTCATATGCTGCAGAATTCCCAGCTGCTATGTGCACAAGCCTAAATTTAGACTCACGCCAGCTCTTCCGAGTGTGTTGTTACTGACTAAAAGTTGCAGAAAATCTGATTGCCAAAGTCCTGAAAGGAATTAGAAGGGGGGGGAGGGGAAGCCCATATGATTTGTATCTGCTTGTGAATCCACTTAGTTAAAAACTCTTTCGAAAAGCTATCTAAAGGACAAATCAGCTGTGATAGTTTGAGTCCCTTAGAAGCATCTGAACTAAGTGTACACTCATCTGAAACAAATACAGCAGTCACAAAATATCAGTGTCTGTGTATCAATTGTTATGGCATGATAACGAATTTGAATTTATATTCAGAATGTGGATAATCATGGTAAGAACTGCTTTTAATAACAGGTAGGAAATTTTTAAGGTATGCATTGTATATGGGTAACAACGGAATCAGTCTTAGGCAGCGCTTGAAAGAGTTGTTTTATGCAAACTCTGCAACTCTTCTGTAGTAGGTAAATGATTGCATTAAATGGAGCGTAGTTTTCATCAATGAGAAATTGTTTGCATACATGAGCTTTAAGTCAGCTTTTCTTCCAGGCTTAAATCAAGAACAGGTCAGGCGCAAAAGCCATTCTGGACCCGAAGTCAGCATTCTCAAAGTACAGTCTGCAAACCACCAGCTGATCCACCGCACCCCTGCTAGTCAGTCTAGATTTAACACACATATTCAGGTGCTTTGCTGGGTTACGCTCTCAACTAACAGTATAATTTTATGGTACTGCCTTGGTGTTTATACTCTTTGGCAGCCAACTACATGCACTTCACAGGCTGCTTTTCCAAAGGGCATTTCAGTTCCAGTAAAAAATTGCTTAAACTGTAGCTGTCCTGTCAGAGGTGAATGTGAAGTGGCATTTCATTTACATCTTAAAAATACATGTAATACCCTCCAGCTGGATGGCATTAAGTGGTGACAATAAGCAAACAGGAAATAACATCATATGATTTTCAGATATTGCTTCTTAGAGGGCCAGTTTTCAGACTAAAAATATGTTTTAAATCAAAGGCTTGGAGCCTCAGCTTCCTTGGGTACCCCTGCAGCCTTGAGAATCACCACTAGTGCTGCAGTCCCAGGTGCTGGGACCTGGGACCTGTGTCTAACCAGGCACTGAGTCGCCAGCACCCATTGCCTGTGGCAGGCACTGGAAGGAAGCAACTGGGTAAATTAGGAGGTGCTTTTGTAATGATCTGCTGATCAGCTGGTCTGTGTTAAACCTTGGGAAGCTCATAATTCGTAACTGTCTGCTTTCAGATGTGTTGGCATTATCCGGAACCGAAGGCTTAATCTGCATGAAGGCAGGTGTGGGTGGGATTCTTTACACCCAACTCTTGACACATACTGAGGGTTGGTGGTCAATGAAGAGATCGGGAGATTTTAGGGTGCAGATTGTCCAACGTCTTTTACACACCAGCTTTAGCATAGTATTATTTCTGTCATGCCTGTTTATTCTTGCTGATGATAAAGGGAGTCTACCTAAATCAGATGTCCACATCCCAGATATCTAAAGTTGGTGGAAGGAATCCCATCTTGTCTGTCAGTGCTCACCCTGATGGGTAAGGTCACCAGTTTTGCCTGTTTGGGTGTGAAAGCCTCATAAGTGTCTGAACTGGGCACTTAGGATCATAGGATCGTGGGGTGATTCAGGCTGGAAGAGAGCTCAGAAGTCTCTAGTTCAAACCCTGCTCAAACCAGGCTCAGCTATGAGATCAGACCAAGTTGCTCAGGACTTTGTCCAGCCTGGTCTTGAAACCTCTGAGGATGGAGACCGCACAACCTCTCTAGGCAACCTGCTCCACTGCCTGCCTGTCCTCGGTGTGAAGAAGATTCTCCTTTTATCCCGTCTGAATCTCTCATTTCAGCTTCCGCCTGTTGTCCCTCATCCTCCTGCCACGCACCGCTGTGAAGACCTTGGCTCTGTCCTTTTGATAACCTCCTTGTAGGTAACTCCTCGAAGCCTTCTCTTCTGCAAGCTGAACAAGCCCCAACCCCTCAGTATCTCCCCACTTGTCTTAAGACTGGACATCTTCACACAGATGGGCAGGATCTGTCCCCAGGGACTGCTCTAAAGTAGCCCAAGTACCACCAAGACTAACATGCCTTGGGAACTTCTGTTTTAGCTCCTGAGCATGCTAGTTGAATGTTGCATGTTTTATCCTTCGTGTTTTTACTCCAAAAGCTATCGTTTCATTGGGATGAAATGGAATCAGTTTTGATTTTTCATGCTGTTTTCTTGGAATAAAGACCATTCAGAAATATTCAACCCCCCTGTAGCACAGAACACTTCCTTGGAGATTCAAACTAGCTTTTCTTTTAAATAAAACTGATGTTAATTCATTTGTTATTATTTCACGTATCACTCTACAAAATGTGTCATGGTCTCATATGAAACCACTCAGTCAGAACAGTATAATCATTCTCCTTTCAGTCAGGTTGTCAGCAAGTATTAATGCTTAAAGCTTCAAGGATTCAAACAGAGCTACACTGATTTATACTAAGTATGAAGATGATGCTATTTATCAGGGGAATTTCCAAAATTAAAACCAGGAGGGCAACAGCCTGTTTTAAACATGACAGACATATCAGATTGGCTTTAGATCTTTATATTCCAAAATCATTTGCATTTTACATCAGTTGAAAGGTAGCTCATCCATTCTTAATAGCACAATTATGGCAGATGGCAACAGGCCACCTTGAGTTATTTATTAGGTTGCCTGCTGTGACTTTATCACTACCATTCAGAAGGCTGATGATTTAACTCTGCTGGACTGCAGGTTTGAGTCTGTCGCAGTGGATAACTATTCAGGACAAGGCTGTGAAGACCCTGACATAGATTTGTCAATCACTACTTGACAACCTTGTATCACTGCCAATGCAATGGAAAGCACACCAAATGCAGTGGAAGCCAGGGAAGAACACAAAACTACACATAATTGTCACCATTTAATCCATGTTCAACTGCTCCACATTTCCAATTATTGCTCTAACAAAACAAGTACATATCTTCGATGCTTTTGCTAAGATGATCTCCTCCTTATGAAGTGTAAGGACTCTTCAGAATTAGTAACTAACTTTCAGTGACATTTTAATGGCATCACAGACCAAGTAAGACTATATTTTAATAGCACATTTCACTGATACTGAGTTACAACGGAACTCCCATGGAAGTAAATATGACATTTACACGGATAGTAGATTAATTCACTATGACCATTGCTAGTTCCATCAGTACCAGATTAATTATGTCCCTGAGCTCCTTATCGTGAAGTATAAACAAACACTGATGCAATTATGCTAATTATCTCAGATTAAAGAAGGCTAATACACTTATAGTACACAGTTGAGTGTGTTTCTCCATAGACACTTTAAATTGATTTGTCATTTAGTTTTACAGCTCAACCATCAAATCTCCAAGACTTCTAGGTGCAGTGTTTTGTGAAAGGTGCATTGTTTTTAAGGTTTATGACCATGAGAGGAAATTGTGAACTAAATTAAGAAAAACAACAGTGTATTCTGTAACTTGTATCCCCTGTCCTCAGGGACTCCCCACATAATCAGTTGCCTTTGCACACTTCTGAGCTGTCACTTTGATGTTCATTCTGAAACTAGGTACAAGCTATTGTCAATGGATTGCCAAAGCTTGAATCCCCTAAGTATATCAGCTCTATACTATTAGTATTCTTTTATTTTTCTATTGTCATAAATAGTAAAAGAGTGATTATAGGGACTCCTCTAAATGTTGATTTGCTTTTAAAGCAAATAATTTGTTGGGCTAATTAGAAGGGAGTCCTAGATCATAAACTCAGCTTCCAAACTGAAATGGGAACATGCAATCCACTGCATAGCAAAACACTGTAAGAGCTTCATTGTGCACGATGCTACCTAAACTTGTCTAAAAGACACATCTGCTACATTCCACCAAGACTACTTGGAAAGCAATTAACCATTTGCATACAGAAATGCTCCCCTTGGAAATGAGTCTATGGGGCTAATATGCACCACAAGTACTTTTCCAGTTTTTTGTTAGGTTCCATTTTCTTCCTTTGGCATTCATTGAAAAGGTTTGGCTCTTAATGACTACCTCATTTATTTGTCCCAGTGCTGCATTGAATCTTAGAACTGGAACCCCATTATTGGTTTACTTCACGGCTGTCTGAATAATTATCTTATGGCATTCATATGCTTAACCTAGTGGTGCAAGGAAGGCATAATACGGCAATGGGAGGACAGATCATTTAAGAAAGGTTATGAGGCATGTGGTTCAACCTTTGGCAGTAACTGGCGGAAAAGTCACAAACATTGGCCCCTGTGAAACTTTCTGCCTGCCTCCCCAAACACTGGTTGTCTCCACGCCTCCTTCAGCAACTATCTTCAATGAGGTAAAGTGTTTTCTTACCTATTTGCCAATCCCAGGGAACTTTCAACAGCTCTTTGTGTTCCATGATTGCACTGTAAGAGAAGAGAAGGCAAAATTTGATGGAAGAGAACAGAAGTTAAATTACTTCCACTCATTCAATTCAAATGCTGGACAAAACAACATAAATAACCTTATAACAAAAAATCTCTGCAGGAACCAAATGCAATCAGACATTGCTAATCCACTCTGGCATTATCCCTGTGCCCGTGTATTTGAAAGATCTTCAGGGCAGTAATGAGACGTGTTAGCATACAATTTGTACTGGTTTATTTCCAGCTCTCTATATACCTGCCCAAAGTGCCCATCCCCGTATGTGTTCAATCCTCTTGTACTCTTCTGACTTAATATTCTGAAAGCTTTTGAACTTTAATGATTAATAATGTATCTGTCTGAGTTATTCACCCTTCAGAGCGGCTCTGCAGTGTCAAATAAATAGATTTCACAGGCTGGCTTTGAGGAGAGTACTGTGATTTGTTACACACTGAGAGAGATCAAATAGTCACAGCAATGAAAGTCAGGAAACAAAGCAAAGGATGGGCCATGCTGCAAAAGTCCACTTTCAACATCTTGTAAGTCTTGCATTGTACATTAACATCAAAATCGCAGATCCAGAAAATTCTAAGGTGGCAACAAGTCAGCTCTTCCCAATCCAGGCAAATAGACCCTTGGAGATTAGGTATCTCACAAGCTAGGTCTTCACTGAGCTAACCGCTTTCTCTGATCTGCGATTTGCAGATAACTCCTGCTGTGCAGAACTCTGCATGCTAGTCTGGACAATATTTTAAACAAGTATAAAACATGGAATTATACAGATCGAAAAACGAAGCACCTAGTACAAAAGGTGGTATATGGAAGACCAAATCTAATAGTAAAACTGCAGGAACTCAGTGCCTTCCAAATTAATCTGGTCTAGAGAGTTGCACCCTGGATATTCTCATTTTCTTGCTGCTGATGTGTGGCAAATCTAATACTGTGTACAGAATAATAAGATTATTTTGTCTGCAAAATAACTAAATTATAAGTGTCTTTGCATGCATAAGGCATATGTTTCTTTTATCAGCAATTCCTGAATAATATAATGAAAAAAACCTGCAATGTCTCTTGTTCTGGCAAACAAATTTTGATATAACTTAAATGTAGGAACATTGCTTTCATGCTATTGCCTATCCGATACAAAAGAAGTAGAAAACAATATGCTATGGTCTGTGATTCATTACGATCTGTGAAACAAAGAGGGGTAAGAGCAACTTTGCCAGAAGTTGCCATTTAGTAGTGCCAGATTCACTGAAGAATTGGAACCACAACGATCTTCGAACGGTTGCGGTGACTGGAGGAGGTCCCTGATGACTGAAAAGAGACAAATGCAACATCCAGTTTCAAAAAGAGAAAACACTATAACCTGGCCAGCCTTATGCTAACCTTTGGGAAGATTATGGAGCAAATCTTCCCAGAAGCCATTTGCAGGAAATAAAGAAGAGATGACTGGAAACAGCACAGACTTCTCAAGAGCAAACCATACCTGACCAAACTGACTGCTTTCTATGATGAGATGATTGGCTCAGTAAATAAAGGAGAGGGAATGGATGAGCGGATGAGGTGTAACCTACCTTGACTTTAGCAAAGCTTCCAAAATGATTTCTCGAAAGATCCTTAGAGACTCAGGAGGTATGGACTGGATGGGTGGACTACCCACAATGTAGTCTGAAGAAAAGGGCCAAGAGAAACCTTGTGAAGTTCAAGAAAAGCAAATATGAACTCCTGCACCTTCGGTGGAATAACCCTATGCAATAGTACAGGCTGGAAGCTGACAGGATAGAAAGCTGCTTTTTAGAAATAACCCTTGGAGTCCTAGTGGACATCAACCTGAACATGAGTCAGCAATGTGTCCTTGGAGCAGAGAAGGCGCATCCTGGGCTGTGTTAGAAAGAGTTTGGCCAGCAAGTTGAAGGATGTGATTTGTGAGACAGCAGCTGGAGTTCTGTATCCAATTTTGGGCTGCCCAGAATAAGACAGACATTGACAAACCGGGGGGAGTACAGTGGAGCTCTGTCACAACAGTCAGGCGGCTGGAGCACATGATGTAAGAGGAGATGCTGAAACAGCAGGGTTTTTTTAGTGTAAAGAAGAAAAGGCTAACCCAGGGTGAAGGAGGACGGGACAATAAATTTGCTGTCTTAACTACCTAATGGGTAAGTTACAGAAAAGATAGAGTCAGACTTTTCTTGGAGGTGCACAACAAAAGGATGAATGACAATGGACACAAGTTGCAACGAGGGAAACTCTGATTAGATACAAGGAAAAAAAATATTGGTCAAACACTGGAACAGGTTGCCCAGCAAGACTGGCATTTCAATTCCTGGAGATGGTAAGAAGTTAACTGTACAAGTTCCTGAGCAACCTGACGTAACTTTGATGTTAGCTTTGAGTTGCTTTGAGTAGGGGCTTGAACCAGATGACCTTCAGGGGTCCATTACAAAGTAGGTTATTCTATGATTATGTGATTCCATCAGACGGCGTTATCTCCATTTGCTGGGTAGTTGCTATATCCCCAACTCTTGTCAACTAATGTTTTCTCTTGTTTTGATATACAGCTCCTCCCTGCTTTAATCACATTCAACCCACTAAACTTCTCTTTCCACCATGCCCGGCTAGTTAGCCAACTCCTTCCTTTACTTCACTGTTTGCCCTGACACCTTAGCCCTTCATTTGCTGTCCAACAGGCGTTATCGAGGTTTATTTTACATTAAGCACTCTTGCTAAACTGTTCTAGAAAACAACAGCCTACTTCTTGAAAGTCCACTTGGAGACACAGCCCTGTACTAGAGCTGAAGCATGAACGACGTGAGTCACCCACACTTATGTAGATATTTGTACTTACACATGGAATAAAAGGCAAATACCACAGCTTTTTGCTACTATATTATTTTGAGATCAGTGCATGTCAATAAAGGGGACATTCACTTGTGGGCACTGTTTTGCCTTTCTTACATTCAGCATAGTCCTACGCACTTTTCGTTATTTTCCCTTCTTCAGAATTGTACTGCTCCCTGTAAATCCTATGAACATGAGACTTACACCTCAAGTGGTATTAGCACACATGTTCCCCATCCTCGATCACTTTGTGGATGCCAGCCAAACTTTGACCAGCACTGTGTCCAGCATGCTGGGAAATGGCCCTATTTTTGAGACATTCCTTCCCCAGATTACTTCAGTTTATAGGACCTAAAGGTCCTATATTGCACCAAAGTGGCCAGTAGTGTTTCAAAGAAAGAGTCTGCAATTGTAACACGGAGAGCTGCCTTCTTTTTGAAGCAATTGGTATATTTAGTTAGATTAATCCTCTGTGAACTCTTAACTATGTGATGGCTGCTCTGCATTACAGGTAAAGGTAAGAAAATGCTGAATTGCTTCATGGAACCAAGTAGCAGAAACATTATTGGTCTCTCCTGATATGCAAGCTTTTGCCACCTTGTTAAAAAAGTACATATATGAGCTAAGTGTGGTCGGGGCTCCACAAAGTGCCACAAAAGCACTAGCAGCAAAAAGCTGTGAAGGCCGGTGGAGAAAAACCTGCTGGCAAGAACTTTTGGGCCAAAGGTTGACTATAAAAACCTTAGGGCTTTCAGCATAGAAATGGTTTCTACTGCTTCCTTCCAGTTGTGTTCTCTGTGTACAAAGATGCCTTGTTCCAGCACCAGCTTCTTCTCCCCAGCAAAATAACTCACAGACCCTGAATTGTGACTAACTGCTTGGGTCAAGAGGGGTAATGGCACTATAATTAAATTCAGGAATATGAGACACGTACATGACAGTTTACGCACACAGAGCAAGACAAGGGCACTGCTTTGATGCCCTCAGAATCAGTTAGTACCTACCTACCATGAACACTGTAGGTAACAAAAATGCTTTAGCCAAAGATACTAGGCATGTTTACATGCTCTTGAATTCTGTATTTTTAAGAAAGGAACTGCTTGTGTGGCAGCTGGTTAATAGAAATCATTTTAAGTCATGTGTCCAGACCCCACATAAATATAATAGGCTTTTTGGCTAAAGAAATAGAACTAATTAAGTGGGAGTTGATGGGTCATTGTTTTGATCAGTCTCTGTTCTTAGAAGCTAAGTCAGATGTGCAGGGAAGTAACCTGGTTTTGACTAGTAATCAAAAGTTATTCTGTGTGACAAGCACCAGTGATGGATATGCATAAAATGTGGCAATCTGGTATGGTGACTTTTACTACATTTTCACCAGTCACAGTATTACAACACTGGAAGCTACCTTCCAACTCTTAGCCTTGCAGGTGAGGTGCTCATTAGGTATATCATGTGGATATAGACAGAACTCAGTAGTTCCCGAAATCCATGTGACAATCTCCTGAGTACTAAATATTTTGAAGTGAAAATGCCAGTTTCTTAAAGGCTTTTTCATTATTTTCGCCATATCATAATGTAGTTACACAGAACAAGCCAATCAGTAAAATACCTTCTGACTGGACGTGTTTTCTACCTGTTTAGAAATCTAAGTGTCTTTTTAAAAGTATGAAACAGAACCAGAGATAGTTGTAGATTTTGTTATTCACAGATCAGATCAACATATGAAGTATCCACTTGTCTTCAAGCAACAATGTGGTAAGATGTGTCTTCTACTCCTCCCTCCCCACATGACTATTCAAGGACACCAATCACAGAATCATAGAATCATAGAATGGTTTGGGTTGGAAGGGTCCTTAAAGATCATCTAGTTCCACTCCCCCTGCCGTGGGCAGGGATACATTCCACTAGGTCAGGTTGCTCAAAGCGCCATCCAACCTGGCCCTGAACACTTCCAGGGAGGAGGCATCCACAACTTCTCTGAGCAACCTGTTCCAGTGTCTCACCACTCTTACAGTAAAGAAATTCTTCCTAATATCTAATCTAAATCTACCCCCTTTCAGTTTAAAACCATTACCCCTCATCCTATCACTACGCTCCCTGATAAAGAGTTCCCATCTTTCCTGTAGGCCCCTTGAATTAGAGTACTTAGGTACAAATTTGTGTTATTATTCAAATCCACCGATCTGAAATATGAAAACCAATGTAAATTCCAGAACTGGAGGACACCTGCTCTCCACAGGAAATGGCTACCTTTGAAGAGAGGCTACCTCAGTGGAGGCCACAGCTGCACTTAATTGAATGACCTTGGGGCTCAAACCTGCTCACTTACAGCTGAATTCCACTGAAGAAGGAACCAAAGAGTCCAATCATGCCCAGGAATTCCACTCGACTCAGATTTCGGACGATATACTCCTCACAAACGTTCGAGATGCCGTATAGCGTTGCTCCGCCCAGTACTAAGAGATCCCCTATCAGTTTATTTTCACCTAGGAATAAACAGGGGAAAAATCAGAATGTCTCAAAACAACCATCTTTTGTCTAGAACCATTGCCAGTTCTTCCCTATAGATTTCAATCCTCAGTCACTAAGTAGCCCATATCTGGGTTAATAAGCTGAATGCAAATGTTCTGTAATTTTAACAGTTTTCATTCAAGACCCCAGCAAAATCTAGCAGAGGTGAAGGGAGAGCATTATCCTTGCTGTGGTTAATAGAATCTGAAAGAATCTGAAAAAATTGTAAAAAAATATAGAAACCAAGTGGCACTCTTCAGTGACTAATCCTTTTTATTGTATTATTGTTACTTTTTTTGCAGAATGTGACTCAGCTATATAGAGCAGCTTGCATCCCATCTTGAAATCTAACCAGTCTAAAACATGTCCAGTATTTAGATGTGAAACCAACTGAAAAATTCTGTGTACCTGTGAAATGAGTGAAGAAATCATTACAACCCCAATATTGACCTCATTCTCACATGAAGCTGTTTGACGGGAAAGAGAGGAGGAAGGATGGGGTGTAGACAGGGTGATGATAACAACAGATTTTCAAAAGAGGTTCAATTAGCATAGCAGTACCTAATGCAAGCAATGAACACCAAGATGTATTTTCAGTACCTCCAGGTATATATAATTACTAAAACATTGTATTATCAAAGACTGTTTGAAATCTTTTTAAGTCTTGGAGGCTTTTATTATTGGGGGGCAGGGAAGGCTGCAGGGAAATTTGATCAAGATCAAGTTCCAGCTTGAAAACTGAGGCCCTGGCTTTGCAAACTGATGCACGCGATTCCCTCTGCACATATGGTTTGTTAAATGATTTCTACAGCTTCACAAAGCTGTCAGACATTGCTGCAGAACCGTATTCTGAAAGACTGGATATATGGAATATATGGATATATGGAATTTCCTTTGAAAAGGTTCAGTAGAAATGCTGAAGTACTAGACTGTAATTTTTTTTGAAAGAAACCTTGTTTTCTTTTAAAATACCTCTTGATTTACTTTTTGAGTTCCTGCCTTTTTAAGTTTTATTATTATTGATTTGTAAAATATACACTGCAGTAAATAAAAATGGAAGCCAAACATTCTGATTGATTCAAAATAATCTTGTCAACATTTTTCTTTATGGAGTACTTTTAAGCCTTCAGTTTTCATTCCAAACTACAGTTCTGAAATTTCCAGTGGGAAGACATTTACGAAAATAAGAACGGTCATAAGAGGACAGACCAAGGGTTCTTTTAACCAGTATCCTGTCTCCAATGTTGGCTATAAGTACCAGAAAAGTATAGGTTGTTTAGGGACAAATAGGAACAGGGCAAATGTTTAAAATACTCCCAGTAACACTCTCTTAGTCTCCAACATTTTTCAGCTCAGAGATGTGGCTTCTGTGTATTTAGCAAACATTACTAGATTTCTCTTTCATGTACCCATCCAGTCTCTCACTGAATTTCTGTTTTGCATGTACCCTGACTGACAGCATGTTTATATTTGACCGTTTATCTTTTTAAGATTTGTTACTTATTTTCCTTTTAGCCTTCTTTTGCAATCAGCCATGGAAGATGCCTTTAATTTAAAATAAGCATCAGCACTTTACAAGACCTCTTCATATCCCTGATGCATTTGATGTTCCACAGTGGCTGCAATCATCCCTCACTGAGCTCACTCATTTGGTATTTATTACAGCTACTCACTGACACTTCGGGGAAGTACTGCGAAAAAGCTTTTGACCTTAGAGCTTGGCTGTGCTGAACTGCTGAGACAAAAATGTCATCCTTTTGCATCTGCGAAACAAGGATGGCTCAGAGGCCGAGCGTTTTGATAGAGATGGGACGGCCCCAAGCACCACACTGCGATGACTCTCCCCAAAGCGCACTCATGCTCGGAGAGGGTGAGCTTCAATCTTCAGGGCTTTCCCGGAAGAGGAAGCCAAGATCTGGTGAGAGCACGGGTCTGCCTAGCCCAGGACCCTCCTCTGGCACTGGGCAGCACAGGGTGGCTGAGGAAAGCATGAAGAAATAGGTAAGCACAGGGGGATTTTTATCAGCCAGTTCTCAGCAGATTAGGGATTTTCTGAGATGGAAGTTATACTAGACCATCAAACTTAATAGATCCTGAGGGATTCTTCATTAACTTGTGTAAAGTCCATATAGTTTTGGCCTCTACAACACCCTGTGGCAGAAACTTAGCCGGTTTAAGCATGCACTATCAAAAATTACTTTGTGTTTTTAGCTTTTAAGGCCGATACCTCAAAATTATATTGGGCATCCCATAATTTTCTCATTGTGAGAAATATTTAAGAATCACTCTGTATTGACCCTGTCCATACCACTGAAGACTTCACGTACCTTTACCATATTCTGTCTCTTTCTTGCCTTTTCTGGGAGATGAAAAGGCCCAGTCTGCCTACAATCTCTTCATCCTCAAGCCATTTTATGCCCTCGAACAGCTTTCTCACCTTTCTCCATTGCTTCTACAAGCTTATTTTCTGGTCATTTCTTTTTGAGATGCAGTGACGAGAGTAATACAGGGTACTCAAGAGGCTAGTGCATCAAAACTTTATATACTGGCATAAAAATGTTTTATACTATATTTTTGGTTTCTTTCCTAATAATTTCTAGCATCCTGCTTGTCAAATGTCTTTTCTTCTTTGCTTCCTCAAGAGGCTGACTTTGGAACTTTCCCCCAAGACTGACATATCCTAATAGACCTATTTTCATGGATGTAAAATCCACAGGCATCTACTGGTTTATTGCTAAGGAAATATGTATCAACTGACTAGAGACATTCTAAAGACTTTTAGGTTAACACAGTTGTACTTGACCAATTTAATGGCGTAGGTCATTCTTCTGAAGAAACATAAGGCATAGCTTGGCAAAACACGCTTTGCATTAATCATTGTTAGCATATTTAATGTTCTCTGGAAGCAGAAGTCATACAGTCCAGAGAGGAGTTAATGTTCTGGGGACTAGTTATAGCACTATAGTGTAAGAGGAATCATTTAAATATGAATTATGTTCTGACACGATTGCTTTTCACATTCTCACTAGGCCACTTTGCCACATTTTCACCTCAACACCCAGCATTAAATGGTGTTTCTGTTTGCTTTTGGCTGTAATTACTGATGATCATAATATCTAAAAATCAGTCTCAATGTGTCCCATCTTAGACTAAACATACTCTCATATACTTATTAACAGGACTGAAGTGACTGGCTTTCAGAGACTGTGATAAGCTAAAGCTGTGAAGTGCTTTGAAAAATCTGGATGAAACACTTAGACCTCTGTGTCTTAGACCCCTGTGTATTACAGGAGCACAAGTACCAAGGTACCTCAGGGGTATTAGTTCAGAAAAATGTTATTTTAAGGTACACTTGGCATGTAAGGTGATAGAGCACAAAGTACTTGGTAGTAATTGCTTTTCCCATTGAGAAATGTGCAAAACATTTCAGGATACAATAAAAAGAGGTAAACTACCATATATTTATTGAAAGTTGAGAGCATGCCTGCACATTATACCTAATTCCTGCAGATGGTTTGGAAAACACCTGTTAATCTCTCAGTGATGCATTTTAAATTCATTTTCCCTTACTGTAAGAGTTGGCAGGCTAGATTGCTGGATGCAGTAGGTGCCTACCAGAGCCTTATGGCACTTCTAATACATAAACAGTATGGTCAACAGGGGCACACAGGTGTCAACAGATCTTGTCCCCTAAAATATAGGATAAACACAGAAGTTTACAAAGGACTAATACAACATCATTGCTTTTGGTGTATTCCTTTCTTTTGTTTGCCCAGTCCTAGGAAATATCCTATAAATGGTGTGGAACCCCTGAACAAAGAGTTTCAAGATTTTTTTCATTTTGCTGCCAATATTTCTTTTTATTTGTAGATTTTTAATGTATAGTTTTACCCCTTCAGATAAATGAAACCAGCGGATCTATTTTATTCTGTTAAAGACAACATCATTAATAATATCATTTTGCCACTTAAAAAAACCCGCTGCAGTCTCTCTGTGTAGCAATAAGCATGGACACAGTTTTTCATGTGTAGGTCCGAATTAAAAGGCAATAATGCATGTTAACAGATTTTTCTGGACAATTTTACCTAACAGCTATACCCGTGCTTTAGTAATGAATATGGCAAATAACATCTAATTATTGCAGTTGGATGGCAAAGTGTCAGTGTTCTTCAACGTGTTCCTTGTCCGCTGAGGTCCATTGCTCCACACGCTCCTGCTGATCCACAACGCGCCTGCCCTAGCATATTACTCTCTAGATTACTGGGACACAGGATGTTTCCTCCGGAAGCCAGGGTTGAAATCCCAATCCCTCTGAAATCAGTCATTCCTCATGCAGCTTTGGCTGGCTGATTTCATAGTACAGAGTATATTCTTTCCTTTTTCGCTGGGGCAGGGCTATTTCTGGAGGCGACCAATGAACTAAAAGTATCCTTTTAGGATAAAGGACAGGTATAAAAGGGGGCAGGGAGATATGGTGAGTACTGTCACAAACTCCCTTGTTTTATTTAGTAGCATCCTGGAAAATGTAGTTCTTACAGCACTTGCATTTGTATTCAGAAAGCTGAGTCAAGAATTTTAAATCCCAGTGTATTATGCTCAGCTCACAATTCAGTGCTTTTAATTAAGAATGAAAACTGTGCCTAATTGACAATCTTTGAAAAGAATTTCCAGCCTTCCCACATCATTTGGGTTGGCACTAGAGAAATCAATGTGACAGAGGAAGTTGATCAATGAAATCTGATAGTCTGAAACTCTGCCTAGTCTGCATTAATAGCTACACACACATTATTCATATGATGCCGCATATAAAAAAGAACATTTTACACACAAGAAGGTTCTTTTCAACAGTGAGGCAGGCAAATCCCAAACCTTTACTCTGAAACTGTGTGCATAACCCAGTTGGTACAGTTAATACGTAGGTTCGGTGTCTTTTAGCATCTACCCAGCGACCCCACCTCCATACAAAAAAGGAGCAAGGTTGAGGAGAAGTAAGAGTACATAATGGATGTGAGAGGTGCTTATGATTCAAAGATGCAGCCAATTTGGCAAGGAAGCAACTGAGGTTTGCAGTCAAACAACTAAGCCAAAACAGAAGGAAACGACAAGTATTTAGCTTCTCCCCCTGGCCTGCACAGAGGATGATCTGGGTTGCACACACAAGTCTGTTTGCAGCCGTGCCGACTTCTAAGTGTTGACCCATTTTTGCTCTCTGTTCCTTCTGACAAAGAAGCAACTTTGAATGGTGCAGTGCTTTGGATCCATGAAGGCACAGGGTTTCTTGCCAATTTTCTCTTTTTTTTTTGTCCCAACCTGGCATGTTCTGGTCAATGGCTTCTCTGAGCAGCAATTGGTCATACAACACATCCATCCTTACTCACCTGCTCCTTGCTGTCTCCCAACGAGGACATCTGCTCCTGCCATGCATCCCATGCCCAGAATGCAGACCACAATCCCAATGAAATGTACTGCCTTGTATCGTACCAGTAAGAAGAACCAGGAGAGCAGTATCACCACTGGGATGACAAAACAGTCTAGGAGCTGTCAAGAAAGAGAGGAAAAATCAACAAATCAACCTGCTAACACTTTGCCATAAAATACTAGGATAGATTCCAGCAGGGGGGAGCACTGTAATAGCACTTTCTACCAGACAGAAAGTGTATTCAAGTGGTTATGTCATCCATCAGACAGAGGATAAGACTGTATTCTGTTCATGACTATTCTATGAGTTCAGAAGGGCTGAACAGGGTAACACCCAACAGTACTGCCTTGCTCTTGGATTCAGATGCATATTTCATATCCATGGGAAGGAAACCTGGGCCAAAAGAAAGCCACACCACTCCATCTGGTCCTCACCTCTGGTGATTAACGGACAAAGACTGAGGGCACTCTTCCTACAGTCTAGACATGTGCTTTAATTCAGTCATTTCAGGTCCAATTAGCAGGAATGTTCATAACGCACAAGTTGACCAGATTTATTAAATCTGGCCATATAAATCAAGGGGTTTCTGCAAGCAGAATACTTATGAAAAATCTGCCCCCTGTGGGGACTGTTAACTCCTTGAAAATACAGTCCCATATGCCTCTGAAGGAAAAAAAAATGAAAAACCACCTTGCCTGCAGTGCAAGAAACTCAATCTTCTTGCCAATAGACCCTGGGTAAGAGCTTTCTCAAGGAAGTGTTATGAAACACAATCTTTAATTGTTTTTTTCAGAGACACCCAGCAATAAACCCAGAGAACCCGTGATAAAAAAAGAAATGCACCAAATGTTTGTGAGAGGACAATTTTCAAATTGAAATATATTTTAGAAGCTATCAGTATGTCACCAGGAAACAAAAATCTTGGGTAAGAAAGTTCCAAAGAAACCTGACTTTAATCCCACTTCCTAAAAGGATACAGACAATTAAGAGTTGCGATTCTGTGGACTAACAATGGGATTTAACAAATTGTGCAGGGTACACTACTGTTCAATGCCAATTGATACAGCAGGAACTAGAGCTATATGGTTGCATCTTCTTTCTAATGAAAATGTCTGGAACAACCAAAGGAGGAGGCTGTGTCCGTAGTTCTGGAAAACTACTCCAGATGTTGTTACCTTGATTTTAGATGATGCAATTTGTTTTTTCTTCCCTTTGGGCCTATTACCTGCTACTTGCTCTCTCAGTGTGATTTACCACTAAGCACACTAAGTATTATCAAATAATGATCACATTCCTTTTAACTTCTTTGTCTCTCCATGCGTTATCTGAAGAGAAAAAGATTTTGGGATGATTTCAAGAATTTCAGTGCTTAGAAAACTATTCTTTACATGTGAGATACCTATGTAATAAATATTAAATTTGGGGGATCAGCAAAAATATAAAAGCCAATTTTTGGACTAAGGATAATTTCCCTGAAACTTTGTTTGAAAAACAAGAGTATGCAGTGGAAACCCATCCATTCCAAAGATTCCCCAGACACTGAGTGGCAAAAGCCTTCCAAAGAGGAATGGTTCAGCAGGGGGACCATGCTGCTCTCAGGAGGCTCAAGCAGTCCCAAAAAACTGCAGAACAGACGAGGGAAATTACAAATGGGAAAAGTCCGTGCTAAAAGCGGGTTCTGCACTTAAAATGAGAGCTAATCATCTAAAAGGCATGGCCAGGCCTCTTTACAGTGAAGACTTCCTCCAGCAGTCCTCAAAACACCGTCCTTCACAGACCAAACACAAAAAGGGACAACAGCTGGACAAACTGTAACAAGCTCCTTCACTTGCATAGGGCATCTGCTCTGCCTCTGAAGAGCCTGTAACGTGTACAGTGTATAACGGAGCTAGCGCTCAGTAACCCCTCTTTGTAAAAACACACATATACAGGACACCACATACACAAGAACAACTTCAGAAGTCGCGCTGCCGGGAGCAGCCAGCTCCTGGGGGAGGGAGGGGTGGTGGCACGACTACCAGGTGTACGCATTAAATCCTGGCACGTGGTGTGGGCAACGTGGCACACGGCCTTCTCCTGTCACTGGGAGGAGTGACGGGGCCCACCTAGCCAGCACAGATGGTCACTGCTGCATGGATAACATCCACTGCACATTTCTCATATGCTGTGGATTTCTGCACTTTGTCAACGCAGCCCTAGCAAGTACCAGTAATGGGTGGCACACCTGAGGGAAGCTCACTCTTTAGTGTAACCCATGGGATGTGGACACAGCTCAACACCTCCACTCTCAATCCACAGCCCATGTCATCATGCCTGTAGATGCTGGATGTGTGTTCTTCATTAGCTGTGCTAGCATACAGTGCATCCACCATCTCTGCTGGAGACAGAGGGAAGGTGGTACCAAACAGCAGGGAGGCAGTTACTACTTACATTGCTCATAGCTATCCCCGAAGGTGTGAATGCCTCTATCCCATTCCCTCCCAGTGCAGCATTGAACAGGTGAGCTTAACTCACACAGTTTTCTGACCTCATCACAGTTTTCCAGTACTTACAGTGGGGCTACAAAGAAGATAGAGGCGCCCTCTTCACAACGAGCCACATGGAGAAGACAAGAGGCAACAGGTACAAGTTGCACCAGGAAAGGTTTAATCTCAATATAATAAAGACATTTTTTATAGTCAGAACAATCAATCACTGGAACAACCTCCTCAGGGATGTGGTAGAGTGCCCATCACCAGAGGTTTTCAAGATGCAGCTGGACAGGGTGCTAGATAATCTCATCTAGGCTCACTTTCCCATGAGAGGTTGGACCAAATGATCTTCTGAGGTCACTTCCAAGCTGGGCTGTTCTATGGTTCTGTGATTCTAACTTACTGATAGTTTGCGTCAAAACAAGGTAGAGGAGAAGCTCACATGGGCAGGCACCAGTCTTACCTTGGAGAAAGCAACTGAAATCCATCACCAGTGAGAGCTACCTTTACCTGGCTCAGTGCACTCGGCTTCCCTTCCACGCTGTGCTATGGGAATCACCAGTAGGTTATACCAACTTGATTAACTTTGCACTGGAGGAGAGGAGAAGGGGCAGCCTTACACCTAACTCAGAGCTGGATGTGAGTAAAATAGCACCAATCAGAGATACTGCACAGTCTGCCATCGTCTTCCTCAGGCGATCACTTAAGATTTGAACACCCTCTTCCCCATACATACACATACCACCTCAGAGACGACTGTGCCCGAGACAGAGCAGAAAGCCTTATGCAACGGTTAAGCACAGAGGTGTTTTAAGAGACCACTTATTAAGTAAGACAGTAAGCGTCTGCAAGCATCTTTCCAGTTCTTTTCTGTGCAAAGGTGAGTAAGCGAACCTCAACCATCACCGATCCAACTATTTGATTTTGCAAAATCAGGAGCTCCGGTCACTTATGCAAACAGTGTTTAAGAATAGATTTAAGAATATGAAGATGTCAGCTTTCAGCCACTAACTACTGTCTCTCAAGAGACACAGAGTGACTCAGTGGATATTTTTAACCCCCAACATCTGGAATAGAGCCCTTGCCCACCTTTACACACAGGACATGACCCTGCATGTTCATTGTGGGACAGCAGCTCTGACGAAGGCTGCTTTACTTACTCCAGGCTAAGCACACATAAAGAACATTTTCTTGTGAGTATGATATATATTAGGGTGTTAGTGTGTTTTCAATAGCCAGTTTTAAAAATTGTTTGTACCTGCAGCATGTATACTTCAACATGCAAATTCCCACTAACAGTCTTTTAGAGGAAGCTTTAAAAAATTCCTCTCATTCCATAAATATTTAAACATGCCTATGCTTTCAAGTATGTGAAGATGTGTCTTTTAAGCACTAACATGAAGGGATGCATGAACAGAACCTGTCACAAACAAACAACGCTGACAGCAGCTGGAAAATGCCCCTTTGGGGCTGGTAGCCCAAGGTCTAATCCACAAATTGCTATTCGGAATACTGCAGCATCAATAGATATAAAATGTAGGTAATGTTCATTGACATTATATAGTTCTTGAATTGTGCCTAGTTTATACCTATAATTAAACAACGGGGTAGATAGAAATAAATTAGGTTGCTACAATATCAGCAATAAGATAAGCTAGTGTATATTGCTTAACTGTTTTTCAGGTATTGCTTTACATTTAATTTCTCCAGGACTAAATTCGCTCTGCCTTTCTTTTTTCCTCAGATAAACCTGTCTAGTAGAAGAAAAAATGCACATATATTCTACAGACAAAAGATGTGAGATTGTGGATTACCTGATCTGCAATAGGGCTTTCTTGTTTATTTTTCTCCCCCTCCCCCCCTTTTTTTTGTTTGTTATTAGTTATTTCAGCTATTAAGAAAAAAAAACATTATACCTAATTGTCATGTTCCAGACTATAAAATTTTTGCAATAACAAAGATAAATTATGCTTAGCTTGAATTTCATTTATAGTACATAAAGGTCAGTTGTTTACCAGTATTTCCCTAAGAATCATCTTTGATCTTTGAATCATCTTTTGGACTCAGGAAAAAAAGGAGAGTTTACCGCTTGTGGAAGAAGGGGCAGGCGACTCAAGAAGAGTACAGGGATCTCGTTAGGTCGTGCAGAGAAGAAATGAGAAAGGCAAAAGCCCAGCTAGAACGCAATCTGGCCGCTGTCGTTAAAGACAACAAAAAAAGTTTTTACAAATATATTAATGACAAGAAGAGAGCCAAGGAGAATCTCCATCCCTTACTGGATGCGGGGGGGAACATTGTCACCGAGGATGAGGAAAAGGCTGAGGTACTCAATGCCTTCTTGGCCTCAGTCTTTAACAGGCAGACCAGGTATCCTCAGGGTACTCGGCCCCCCGAGCTGGAAGACAGGGACGGCGAGCAGGATGAACCCCCCGTAATCCAAGAGGAAGCAGTCAATGACCTGCTACGCCACCTGGACACTCACAAGTCTATGGGGCCGGATGGGATCCACCCAAGAGTGCTGAGGGACCTGGCGCAGGAGCTCGCCAAGCTGCTCTCCATCATTTATCAGCAGTCCTGGTTAACAGGGGAGGTCCCGGACGACTGGAGGCTTGCAAATGTGACGCCCATCTACAAGAAGGGCCGGAAGG